CGTCGTGTCTCTTCTTTTAGCTCTTGTAGTTGGAGGGGGGCTTGTGTTCTGCAAATACTGCTCTTTCGTCTTGACTTCTCTGCCTCTGTATCCACTAGCCACGCGTACTTCCACCCCAGTGATAACAACTATGAAGGCAGTACGTTACTATTAAGCAAATAGTAAAGGATAATCAAAGTACAAACCTCAACAATGAATACACCAAGTCAACAGCGAAGGGAGCCGGCCAAATCGCCTGACTCTATTAAAGGGAACAACGCAAGTTCAACAATAACTCCACGCAGGGTGAAACTAGTCTTGGGAAAGCTTGTGTGTGTTAGTGGGAGACGAGGCGCGGCTCTGCTTTCATATGAGGCCATTCCTCTGACCTAAGGATTGGTCTGAAAACACCAGCGCGAAGGGGGGGAGTGGACGTGAACAGAGGCAATACTGTGCTGGGAAGGGGGGCGGGGGAGGAATTGCAAACGTTTGAGGTCAGCGGTGGTGACAGCTGTAATCGAACCAGGTAGGGGGGAGGCAATATCGAGTAGTTCTTGAAACAGTTGTTTCTTGCTGCAGTGGGGGCCGGAAGCACTGTGGGCACAGAGGATTAAAAAGCAAGAGAGCCAAACGGGGGTGGGGACAATATTCAAACACCACTTAAGTGGTACTTGGCCGGGGGACTAGTTTCAACACCGGTGTACATTCGACTGGAAACAAGAAGGGTCAATAGGAACAGAATTCCTGGAGGAAGGGGGCTCGGGCACGCAGTTCAGAGGAAGGGGGAACAGCCTTTCGTAGGAGGGAAACAATTGCAGTCGGTCTAGCGGGAAGTCACTGGATGTGGACGTGGGAAATTTCCAAATTGTTCAAATGGAAATAACAATTACAAAGCCACAGTGCATTCATTCGACAGGTGTGAGCATGAGTATCTTAATAATAACAGAAGTTGATAGGTGCAGACAATCGCGCTCGAAGTGCGAGTGGTAGGCGTAAGGTAGGGTAGGTGTTTATACCCGCATCCCGGAAGGGGGGGGGAGGTTCCTATTTCCGTGTCCTGGCGGCATGAAGAGGCACATGAGCAATTCCGATCCAATAGACCCAGTAAACAATTCAGTACACCTGGCGTGTGTAGAACTTCTACGCATTTTTGCATAACAAACGTCCTTCGTTCTTGACAACGCCCTCAAAACAGGTATCTCCAACCAACTTCCAAGCGAAAAATCGAACGAATAGCATGAGTTTGTTCGTTTGAACAGTTCGGTATTAATCTACTGACTGGCCGTTTAGTTTTAAATAGGCTGTTTGCTGACGATACTCTGCATTAACGAGCAAGTGATCTGTGAGTAGCATTTAGAAAGGTAAGAATGACTTATGTGGCCCCGTAAACTGGACACGGGAATAGGAACGCCTCGCCCAGCTGGCCTTGCGCTTGATTCTGGGAATGATTAATATTCACGTTTCCCAGCCCTAACGCAAGCCCTAACAAAAGTGTAAACAGTGACATTTATCTTAACGTTAATCATTCAGTTAACACTGCTCTTAAACTTAATCACAAAACATAACCCTACTCCTAAAATTAATGGTCACATTTAAGTTAGCTTTAACCTGTAGTTAGCCTCAATTGTTAACTTTACCCTAACCTCATCCGAAACACTAATTTCTCAGGAATTAAGCGCAAAGCTGCCTGCATTGCGGACGGTTTTGGTTCTCATATTTTGCCGATGTGGGCCCATAAGTAATACTTTGGGACTTATTAACAATCCACCTGCTTCACGCAATACTATTGTACATGCCAACCGATCATATGCTGTAGAGTGGTATCTTCATGGCTCTGTACTTTGGGAGCTGACTCCTTAATTATCTTCTACGATCTGGACTTCGTTGACGTGTCACTTACGTCGAACTATTCTCCGGTTTGGCCTGTGAGCCTTCTCGATCTCCTTGTTTACATGCCATTGTAGCATATTCCTTGAAAAAGAAAACTCAAACAGTTATTCCGTGTGGGAAACGAAGAAAAAACGTGTTTATTTTCAAAGCGGGAGGTGAATCGTCTCTAATGAGCTGGTGTGTGTGCACGGGAGACTCCCTATCTCATGAACTTTTTTAATCGAAATTCTGAAACGTACTTTCGATTCCAACAAAGTAGAATTTTCATATTGATTAGCGTGCAACCCACTCCAAAGGTATCTCAGTCACTTTGGGATGTTAGCTTTTTAAAAATCCCCCAAAATATCCACCTCCCCCACAGAACGAATACCTGTGCCAGCTTTTAGCGGCGTCCTTTTTCATCGAAACTTTTTAGACTCAAAAGACACAGACACTCCGCCACTGCGCAGTAAGCCTACCGGACCAAGTGCCACCAATCCGCCAGTCTTCGAATCGCCTGCCGCTTTGCCCTCCGAATCGGACACACCACTGACTCTGAAGCACAATCGCCTCCTCTCGGACGCTCTGCTATCCGCGCTGGAGGCATTTTGGTCCATCCCTTGGGGCGATTCTGGGCGCTCTCAGCTCGTCTCCTCCGAACTGCAAGCGGACGAACAGGCGCAGTTGACAGTGCCTGTTTGGTTTATTTACCACCTAGCTGGGCATCCTTGCTGTCGTTTTCGGGAATGCGTAAGTCAGCTTCCTGCAGAGACATTGAAAATGACA